GTCTGTCCGTCTGTCCGTCTGTCCGTCTGTCCGTATGTTTGAACGCGTCGATTTCCGAAGATATAAGAGCTAGAGACTTCAAATTTTTTGTAAAATGTTCGTAATTACAGCGCGGATATCGAGTTTATCATTAAAATTCGATAACTCATCCCGATCTTTTTTTATCGATGAAAAACCTTATCGAAAACCAGTTATAAAATTATATCTTCTACACCTTTATTGCTAGAGTCTCCAAATTTTGAATGTATGCTTATATGCAATTTATACAATTTCGGTTTTTGTTAAAATTTACCCCCCACCTCTAAATTCACCCCCTCACCCTCACTTTTGTAAAACGCGTATTTCAAATACTAGAGACTTGTGCTTTGGCAATTACATGCATATTCATGTTATAATCATAATCTGAAAGTTTCATGAAGATCGTACGTCCACAAAAAAAGTTATTAAACAATTAAGTTCTCATAGTAAGCGCACACTGCAGCCCATGCGTGTTTATGCGTGGGTGCTTGTATGTGTATGTGTTTGTGTATGTGTGTGTGTTTCTTGTGTAAGCTGAAAGACGCGAAAAATTATTGAAATAGCTAGCACTCCAAGGGTTCAGGGGATCTCGTAGTCGAGCAGTCTCGACTAGAGCTTTCTTACTTGTTTTATCTTAGTCTAGTCAGTTTAGCATTGCTTAGCATTTTTCACTCACTTATGATCCTCTGCATGAGAAGCAGCGCCCGACAGGCAGGGCTCTATTTTGGCCGCCTCGACAACGCTCAGCTGCTGCTGCAGTCCAGAGCGCGCTGTAATTTATCAATTGATGCAATTTTATTAAATTGCATATACATATATATATGTAAGTGCAACAGTTACTTACGCGCCTGTGCAAAGGCCTCACGGCCAGATGCAGTTCGGGTTATCTCAGCCGATGCGGCTTCGTTACCATTGCCACTGCAATTCAATTCAAAATCCGCTGCGGCGGGCGAGCCTTGCGGCGAGCCACAGCCACAAATGTTGACGGTGTTCAACTCATGCTTTCCGCCAGCTTCGGCAAGTGCCCCGCCTCCAATTCCTGATGCCGCTGCCGCTGCAATCTCCTGACCCGCTCGCTGTGGTGAGTGATTTGCCTCGCCCAATGGCGATTTGTCACTTTTGCCAATTGCGGAGCCGGCGCTGCCGCTATCCAATGATATCTTTGCGTTCGGTTTGAGCTGCTCCGTTTGCGGCTCCTGTTTAAGTGCCGTCAGGCTCGGGGAGAACGATAAAAAGTTTTCACTGCAAGTTGAAAAGAATATTAGCAAAAAAAAAAAAGAACCAACTGCAACTGCCAGCTGTTATTTATATTTTCCTATGTATATATGTATGTATATATTATATATATGTACATATGTACTCACTTGTTCAAATACGAGTTACTGTTAAACTCAGCGTTCAGATCAAAGCCTATATCGTCGCTCCAGCTGCTACGACCTGTCCAAAGAGGAAAAATACTTGTTTAACAATTTTTTTTCTCTATCTTGAGGAGTCTAGAAATAGAAATATTTTACTAATAGATACGCTAATAAAATGATAAGTAAGAAACACTCTAATCGAACTGTCCAACTAGCAGACATGCGCGGTCGTTTCTATTAGCAAAACAATTTTAAAAATTATATTGGTATAAAATTGATTAAAATAAAATTTACAAAATAAGTTTTTTTTTTTCTTTTAATTTGTATAAAAATTAAATGCATTATATGACTTATAGCTGCAGTTCCATATTGTTGTACATATTTATGATTATAAAAAAAAAACTTGCAATGCGCGTGTTATAGGAAGACGTCTATCCAAAAATCTACATTTAAGTTTCTATATAATTTATGTTTTTAGATCAGAGAGACGATATAATAAGTATGTTAGTCTTGTTTATGTTTTTAGAATTTAAAATTCATCATGTTTAATGTTTTGTTTTGATAATCAATTCCAATAGTATTTTTAGCTGCTTTAATTTATCTATTATTAAAGTAGTTTGACCTATTTACAATCTTTCTTATTCACACACTCACTCTCACTCGATCTCCAATGATAACAGCGGTCACTTTTTACCCCTCTATCATATATGTTTGTCTATCTCTCAATTTTTCTGTTTATTTCTCTCTTTATTTATCCACGCATTCACATTTACATTCATCTTATCTCTCATACTAACTCAATTTTTACTACCTCTCTCTCTTTCTCTATCTATCTCAATCTCTCCGTTCTTTTATATTTCTAACTCACTATCTCTACGCATACTTTCACAGTTACAGCATATTTCCTAATTGAAACAATTGTAAAGAATGCGAATGCAAATTTATTTTCTTATGTGCCTGTCGCTGTTTTTAGATAATTTATGTTTGTTTTCAATTTAAATTTGTTTCATAAGTTTACATCAGACTCAGCTTAGTGACACACATAATGACTAATTATTTGTAGTCTGAAGATATTGCCTATCTGAGTTGATTAGTGGAGGGCCTGCCCTGTAGTTGGCTCAGCTTAGCTGACGGGTGTATTGAGCTCAGGCAAAGCATGTAACTTTAGAAAGAAAGTTTTTAAGTGAATCTAATACATCATTATATTCATAAAGTATCTATAAATTACACATATAATTGAGTAACTTATAAATTTAAGCAAAATTTAACGATCTTATTACATGCTTTAGTATGAACTGTTTTTACAGGGTATTCCTACCTAATCCCAATACTTTCGCTGTTCACATAGCTTGATAATTTGCCAATAATAAAAGAGGAAATTGCTTCACTACAATTGTACCAATGTCAGACGAATATAATAAAATTTCAAGAGCTCACATTGATCGAGTACCGAATAATAGAATTTAAGGCGAGGTCCAGAGGACAAAAAAACAATTGAAAAAAAAAAAAATCATTTACTCGCTAACGTTGTATAAACTGAATGTTGAATGCAATCTATGCATATATATAAGTAGCTAAAATATATAGGAAAGCCATTTTCCCGCCATAGACTTAATTATTATTTGCTGTTAATTAAGTACTTCTATTCTGTCGACTAATTGCTGGAAAAAAAAACTGTTTCCTTTAAATAAAAAAAAAATAATAATGAGACTAAAACTAAAATGTGGCAGAAAAATTTTCTAAAAATTCAAATTGCTTTAATTACGGCCTCTACAAAATGTCGACAATTTTTTTTTTTTTTTTTTTTTTTTTTTTTTTTTTGCAGTCTTATCTGCCGGACAATTGTCGTGTTGATTTCACATTTCTTGATAAGCCATCACGAGTACCGCCCGATAGGCACTCGTTCTAGCTCGATTTTGTAAAACAGCGAAAGAGTTAAAATTATATGTGTCTCTGTCACTATATATGTATATATATGTGTGTATATAACTATATCTGTATCAGCATTGTTATAGCTGTGCTGTAATTAGGCCAATGACAATTGTTGCTCGACTTTGCGTGATTTTGGCAAATTGTAAACTCTTAACAACCCAGCAGTCGAATTCCAGAAACAAATATATACATATACTTTAACTTTTACTTAGCTTAACTAATTTCTTATCGAATTCTACATAGATTGGTATATAGTTAAAATTTTTCTTAGCTTAACTTTCTTATCAAATTTTACTAATATATATGGATTTAATTCAACTATATCGGGGTGGGCGTGTTTTTATTGCTTAAATTTTTTTGTGGTTATTTTCCAGAGCTGTAATTGTATAAATATAACTTCCATAAAAAGCTATAAAAATTATATACGTTATTATTTCATTAGCTCTACTTGAAGCTATTCTTACAGTTTCCATCATGTCTTGCACATATGTGCTAAGTTAATTAAAGGTCGTATAATAAGCAATAGAAAAAAAAGAAATATATCTATATATATATATATATAGAGAGAGAGAGAGAGAGAGCTTACAAACTTTAATTTTAAAGATGTGTAAGAATTTGTGGCGTTAAATACAAGTTCTAAACTAAGATATCGTTTCATAAATGATTATTAATATTTTATATGAAACATTTCATACCCTATTCAAGTAGGTTTAAAATTTTGAGTATATTTATTAATAATCATAATATTATAAATTTTTTTTTAATTAAAAAAAATTTCGATTAGTGCTTAGATATTCCAAAATAAAAATAAAACAATCCCTTTTTCGAATAGTATTCGAATAGAATTTATTTGTTTATTATTTTTGTAATATTCCAGAATAAACTCCTAATATTATTAATCTTCTTTCATTTTGGAGTTCCTAAATATTTGAATATGCTTCACATAGACTGTCACCAATCGATCTGGAGCTGCAAACAAACTAAATTAAGTTTTAAATGTTACCTCACGATGTGAACAATGAAAATCAATTTTATGGCCAGAAACACACTGAGTACGCTCAGAACTCGTACACATCTCTAAGATATTGATCAATTAGCAAATATAACAAAAAATGTATGTTTGTCAATCAAATAATTAACACATTTGCGCCTTGGCTTGGAAGTTAGCTCTTCAAAAGCATGGCATATTAAAATAAAACCGTCGGCTCTACAGAGATAGAGCTATATGTGAAGAAGAACTTGATTCTTCAGATATCTTTGATTTTATCGATTCGTTTAGTATATTACGCATGTTAGGCGTTAAATACAAAGCAAACAGGTTTACTCAATAGTTGTTAATTGTTTTTTTTTTTTTTTTTTTTTTTTTTTTTTTTTTTTTTTGAATGCGACAAAAAGCGTAGAGTCTTTATATAGAGAAAAAAAATATCTTGGATGTTTGGCCTCATATTATATATTAGGCTCTACATTTCGGATGCTTCAAAGACTTTTTGAAGAGGAATACATTCAGTCGAATGGGTTTCTAACGGAATTTTTATATTAAATAAACTGAATTTTTAATACAACTCTTTTATATCTGCATATTTAAGTCTAAGTCTAAGCCTGATTTTTACTAATCTTTAATATACATATTGAATAGTTTAATTTTAATTCTACCATATTTAAGCTCTTTCGATCTGTCTCACCTGAATGCTTTTCACGTTTATGTTTATCTTTCTCGTGATGTGCCACCTTATTGGGTATTTCGCCTGATTGAGTTGTCGGTGAATTTTCACTTTGACCAATGTCCAATGAGTACCAATCCATTCGTCTTTTGCGCGAACCACTGTCTGAGTAAATTGTCCTTACGTCGATAATTTGCGGTCCTGGTGAATCCTTGGACTGTCCGTCTGTAGTTATATCGAAATCGAAGTCGAAACTTATCGATTAACGACTGCACAAATAGCATTGCTTTTGATGGATGCGATGAGTTTCTTTGTTTTTAACGGCATTAATGATGTATATATGCTTATATATGGGTACATACATACAGAATTGGATTCGTTATGAACTCTCTTACCTGTCCAAGATTCCTCAGAGTTTGGCGGTGAATCAACAAAGTTAATCACTGGCTCATAATCCGACCCAATATGCTGATGATGATAGCCGCTAATGAAATGACTATTTTGGATCTACAAAGAGAGTTCAATTTATTAGTTTATGCTCGATTTTCAGCTTTTACAGCTATACATATATGTATTTGGGAAACTTTTCCAGCACACTGTCTACGATTTAGGTTTTCGTTTACGAAATCGTCTAGCATGCTGCTCATTTAGACAGATCTATCGCGGCATTGCCCCAGCCACAACAGACGCATTATCTCTCAGTACTACCTAACATAGTATTGGGGTCCTAAACCTTGCTGATAATACAAAAAAGAAAAATACAAAAAATACTCATACTACATCAACTACAGAGAATTGCGATGCCTGTAAATTGTTCTCTCAGTCAATTTCTCGCTCACTCTCTCGCTCTATCTACTTTTCTCTCTGTGTACATACGCTGTGCATCATTTAAGTGAGTGTAAATTGTGAAGTTAATAATTTCTATACACGTTCGATTGCAATTTACATGATATTCATTATACATACATTGAGCACTTTGAGTTTTCATTTGTTTACGCCCGGCAGTCTGGGCCTGTTGATTTCTTTTGATTGTGTTCTCAAAAGATAAGCGCATAATGTCAATAATAACAGCCACAACAAGGCACGACCTGAGTCCAGCGTGTTTCGTTTAACTTCATAACTCGATAATAAAAACTGGCAAATATGAAATTTGACCGCCTTTAGATATTTTTAGAGCACTTACTTCCTCTCCCTCCTTATCTTTATATATTTTCAGCTGTTTTTATTGACAGACTGAACGCCGAAATCGACAGCTTGAATGGATATCATTTCTTATAAGTATATATCATATAACGTGACATATTTCCATAGCGATATATATTCCAAATTTGTTTGTATTGATTGCCTGCTACGACAGCTTAAACTGTTTGTATTGACTGATTGAGTGATTGAGCGATTGATTCAGTGCTTGTTCACTTCACTTAATTCTAGAAGATATCAACTGATATAGCAACCTACTTCCCGTCTATCTTATTGTATTTTAAGCGTATTTAATTGACTGACTGCTGAATGATTGACTGATTGACTGAGTGATAAGAAAGCATTTATCTGTTGTTGAAAGAATCTTCATTCTCTTACTGGATTATATACAGAAATAAGTAGTAATTGACGGTTCGATTGGTCAATTGAGGAGGTGAAAAACGGATTGATTGATTAATTGAGAAGATGTGAAGAAAGTGATCGACTTTGCAAAGAAACCTTCTGAACAATTTTTTAATTTGACTATTCCAAATATATCTTGCAAAGAGGAGGCAATCTCAAATGTCTAACAGATTGATTTAGTTGAAGAACATTCGTATTGAATGTTGCTATAAGTATTTGTTTGCCTGTCTGTGCCAGTCATTCTGTTATGTGATCCGAATTCTGTTCTTTTTCAATGTATTTATACATACTCAAACAACATTTCCAATTAAGAGTGGCACAAAAAAAAAAAAAA